GGGACAAGGGGACGCCGCCGCTCGAATCCTGGGAGTATTTGGAAGTCATTGTCACCGATGCCTTTGAAGCCCCGCCTTACTTCTGCCTCGATGGGCGGTGCACTCAGACCATCTACATGAAAGGTTAATGACTATGGATTCTCAGCTATGATTTTGTTTACCTTTTGTAGGTTTATGGGTTAATTGTCGGCATTTGTATAGATGCTGATATAAATTGTACATATATATATATATATATATATATATATATATATACATATACAGACGCAATTTCGACGAATACACACACACACACACACACACACACACACACACACACACACACACACACATACACACACATACACACACACACACATGCACACACACACACACACACACACACACACACACACACACACACACACACACACACACACACACATATATATATATATATATATATATATATATAGATATATGTATGTATGTATATATAATCCCCCTCTCCTGTCATTCCGCTGGCGTCTTCTCATACAATACTTTGTTTCGGCCAGCGTGTGAAGTAGCTTCGAAAAAAGTTTTAGAAAACACAAAGCTCAGGTTTTCGGATTTCTCACGGAAAGGAAAGGCGAGAGAGGGAAAGAGTATTAAATTTAATGCACATAATTGGCACAGATGCTGTTGAAACCAATCTTAGAGCTACAACGGACTAGTTCTTTTCTCGTACACAGACCTTGCCTCAGTCTCCTGTAAGTTCATTTCAGTGCACTGCTAAACTTTTCACAGATGCACAAACTATGGTATGTAAAAAAGGATTTAGGTAATTCCAATTATGTGTTGTGCAGTATAGTATTTAATAATGTCAGCACTAAATCTGCAGTCTACTAAAAAGTTCGTTTAGTGAATATATGAATTTAGGTATAATGGAAAGGTATGTACTAACGGTATGTTTTTTTTTTTTAACAAAGCATTGGAAAGCAAGCATAACGGTTATCTTTAATCGACCGAAAAATATAGATATGCTTAAAGGTTAAAGAAACACTTCAGTAGCAGGATGGCAAGTGATTTATTTACAGGAAAATCCGCATTTTGAATAGAGTGTGTTGTATATCAATGAAGTGTCCTGAGGAACCTACAGCGAGTGTTGATATCATGATATGGGATACCTTGAGTTGTGGTGCATCCTGAGAGTTGCATTGTTCATTTTATGCTGAGCTTAAGCTTTGGCAGAACTTTCGTTGATATTTCTGCATCTCCTTTACTTTCGCCAGAATGGAGAAAGTAAAAGCAAGTAAAAGGTTTTGCAGCTTGGTGAGAGAATTGCTGTTTCAAAATATACTGCATTTCGAATAAAGTTCACATAAAAATCTGTTTCAGTATACAGTAGTCATAAACAAACATTTCGTTGAATTTCCAAAACCTCTTGGTGATAATCAAGTGAATAAAAAACTAATGTTTGACTTAATAGCATTTCATCAGTAGCATCAAAGCGTGTATATATTTATCCAAGATCCTTATACACTAATGGAAATGGGTGTATGGAAAAGATACACAGTTAGCTTCATAAAAAAATGCTTATTGATGGTCACCACGAATAGGTTAACCCTCTCCTTCTTTCACTTTGTCTTGCTAAGCATGACCCTCACTTTCGTCAAATCTCCCTAACTTCAAAATTTCAATCACTTAGAGAATGACCCCGCCGTGGAAGCCAACTTCTTGGAGGGAACAGACACAGACAACATTGATTTCGATCCAAATGACCCTGGGACCTATCAGGAAGTTTATTATGACATTGTAGGTAAGTCTGCACCTCTTCTTGTACACAAAGGGTTGCGGTTCTTTGAGCTTTAGTGATGTAGTGTGACTTAATGATCATCACAATATCTGGAATAATTTTGTTATATATAGAGTGTTGCAGATTATTTAAAATGAGTATTATCTGATAAAAAACATGATCATCACGATTTCTGGAATAATTTTGTTAAATATAGAGTGTTACAGATTACTTAAAATGAGTATTATCTGATACAAAAACACAATCAATGTCATTCTAGTACCCTCCAAAATTATTTACAACACTAATACAGAGATAAGATTTCCCACTTACTAATCACCCGTAAAACCTTGAAGGAGGGAGCACCAATTTCTTCCAGCTGGGAGACAGGACGAAGAACACCATCCAACTCAAGAACCTCCCCCAGGGGCTCGACCGCGAGGGCATGCCCGAATACCAACTCTACATCGACGTCACCAACGACCCCGCCACGCAGCCGCCCATCTCCGAGGTTATCGCCAGAAACTATACTCTTTATGTAAGTTGCTTGAGGAGGGGGGTGCCCTTTGGCTGTCTTGGCATGGAGAGACGAGTCAGCTTTGAGTCAGCTGGTCACTCATGCAGCGTTTAAATATGTATATCTAGCTGTCTATATATTTATCGGTCTGTCTATCTATCTATCTATGTGTATATATATAAACATGTATGTAGGTATGTATATACGCATACATGTACACCTGGTATATAGGTATTATGAAGATTTGTTTGCTTCCATACATACATATGTCATTGTCCACTTTATTTGCATTTCAGTTGACAATCAAAGTCCAGGATGAGAACGACAACTCGCCAGAATTCCAGAAAGCGATTACAATTGCAAGCTTTACGCAGAATGATGAAAAGGGCAAAAGAATTGCTGTAATTCAGGTTAGCAAGAACGTTGTCGTTAGTATTTGATGGATGTGTGTGTGTGTGTGTGTGTGTGTGTGTGTGTGTGTGTGTGTGTGTGTGTGTGTGTGTGTGTGTGTGTGTGTGTGTGTGTGTGTGGTTACCAAAATAAAAAAAATCCTTATATTCTTTTATTGAAAAAAAAATCATTAAGCTTTAAATTAACTAAAAAGCCACTCTCATTTACTCCTAAGCATATGTATTTTCCAAGAAATATTTCCCATGATTATATTCCTGACCTCTGAAGCTAAAGGAGCAAGGCCGTTCTTACAGGCCACCGATCTCGACCTGAACGAAACCATTACCTACGACCTCGGAAAATTCACCTGGAATGACACGGATGGAACGGCGCCCACTGAGGAGCCATTCAAGTAAATAAATAAATAAATAAATAAATAAATAGGACAATAGATAAACGAGAACGAGAGTAATGATACTTATACATACATACATGCGTAGATATACATTCATACAATCATACTATACGTACACACATACGTATAACACATTCTTCTCTTAATACGATGACTTTTGTCTTCTTTTTTTAACTTTCCATACTCTCACTTGCAGATTAGAGAACGGTGCAGACCTGATTCTTAATTTTAAGCCAACAGGATTGAACAGTGGATACTGCACATTCCCTATAAATGCATACGACAAAGGTGGGTTGTGTTCATACAGTAATTGACATATTTAAACTATTTTACTGTAACAACTGCCAGTAAGATACTCTTAGACAGTGTTATGCTGTTGTTGTTTTTTGTCCAGAGATACAAAAAAAAATGAAATGGTTCATTAAATAACCGATCCAAATTATAGTATATTTATAAAACTAATGCCCTATTTGATTTTTTTTTAGATTATATTGCATTTTATGGAGGTTGCATTTGTTTGATGTTTTGGGTGGCGTGGTCATATTAAACGCATCTAACTATTATCATTATATATATTTATTTTCTTTTGCAGATGGCAAAACAAACTTCACAACAGCAAAGGTCTATGTCATCACAAATGCCTTCCAGCTTCCAGTCGTTTTCAATAACGATATTAGCATGGTGTCAGAGAAAACAGAGGATGTAAGTTCACTGCTACATCATGGATAACTGATATATATCGTCGCTGAGATATTTTTTTTCGTATGTAAATTAAATATTTAATGAATATAAGGTATAGGCGACCTTGGAATATTCCAGATGTGCTCAACCATATGCGCCATAATTCCTAAACAGTAAAACAACAGTAACGATTTCTTGAAAATATTTTTTTTCTCCTCTAAGCGTAATTGGCCGCATTTGGGTATCAGAAAATGCTCTAGATCAGAGGTTCTTAACCTTTTCAGCGTCATGCACCCCTTTAAGAATCTGACGAAGGCTATGTACCCCCTTCCCTAGAAATATTCATACAAGCACAATGTGTTTAATGTATTTTTTCATTGGGATTTGAGTGTCTCATACATATATGAAATACACAAAGTATTATTAAACGTGAGAGAAAACAATCTAAATAAAAACACACTCCAATTTTATATAAAACAGATATTGATATCCATCTGATCCTCACGGGCCCCCCTGAAAGCCCGCCACGGACGCTAGGTTAAAGAACCCCGGCTCAAGACAAAACTCTCCATCATACAAACCGTATCTCTTTCTCCCACCAGATCGAAGAAATATTCACGTCGGTGTACCAATACTCGTGTGTTGTGGACAGCACGACGACGCAGACCTCCGACACGGGCGAGGCGGTGGAGGGGAAGACCGTGGTGTTCATGCACTTCATCGACGAAACGCACAACGAGCCCGTCCCGAAGGATGCCATTATTCAGTAGGGATGCTTGGCCCGGCTTCGCGCTCTGTTCTGGGGAGTGAAATCGAGTGAACGGGTTGATTATGATGAAGGCGGTGTTAATGACTGCAATGAATATGGTTACTTTAATGATAATGATATTAACAGTGATAAAAGCAACAATAAAGTGATGATTGTGTGTGTGTGTGTGTGTGTGTGTGTGCGTGCGTGCGTGCGTGCGTGCGTGTGTGTGTGTGTGTGTGTGTGTGTGTGTGTGTGTGTGTGTGTGTGTGTGTGTGTGTGTATGTGTATACATTATATATATATATATATATATATATATATATATATATATATATATATATATATGTATAATATAATATAATATATACACGTGTGTATATGTGTTTGTGTGTGTATGTGTGTGTGTGTATTTGTTCATGATAATTATTATGTTAATATTAAAGTGATGATTGTGTGTGTGTGCGTGCGTGCGTGCGTGTGTGTGCGTGTATGTGTGTGTGTGTGTGCGTGTGTGTGTATACATTATATATATATATATATATATATATATATATATATATATATATATATATATATATATAAATATATATATATATATATATATATATATATATATATATATATATATATGATATATATATATAATATAATATAATATATACACACGTATGTATATGTGTTTGTGTGTGTATGTGTGTGTATTTGTTCATGATAATTATTATGTTAATATTAACAGCTTCAAAAATTCAGCTCCATATCTGACTCTTGCCTGCTATTCAATGGATGAGTCACCCCTTAACACTTCCTCCGTTCAACTCGTATCACACGGGGTTGTTGTTTCGCATAACTGTAAGCGTAACAGACCACGCAAGCCACTAGATGTAAGCGTAACAGAGATGGTCTTGGGGCGGTCAATGAAAGGGGTCTTAACTTGCTGGTTTATTTCTGAAGATAGATATGAGACCCCCAAGAGACCCCCGTGTCCCCGGGTGGAGGACGAGGTGGTGGAGCTGGACCCTGTGTCGCTTGGCCTGTCTGCCGTGTCTCCCTGTGTCTCTGTGTCTTAGGCACGTGCCCTTTTATGCGGCGGTTTCCTTGGAGGGATGTTTATTCCTGTGTGAAAAGAGAAAGGAAGGCAACACCTGCGTCCTGCCCAAGGAGAAAGGCATTTGTTTGGACCGAGGTGTGACTCTGCCATCCGGTCTTGCTACGTGTTGTTCACATCGCTCGGCCGCGCGTAAGGCTCGCCCTCGAGCCGTCTGCAACGCATGAACATTGCAGTAGCACATAGAGATACAGGTTCTGTTAGGTATCTACAGATGGTTCCTGGTGATCCGATGGTCGCTTGGGTCGTCGCGTGCCAAGGTAGCGGGTGCGGTGGAGGTTTCGCACTGAGGTACAACATTCAGTAGCGAGGAGGGTCAATCATCTTCAGAAGCTGAAATATAAGTGTACCAGGCCAGTAAAAGGGCTAAGGGGGATGGTAAAAATGTGTTTGTCAATCACCTTACTAAGTTGCAAGAAAAAAAAATGAGGGCATAATAAGAATAATTTGTTACGAGAAGGGTAATGTGTCAAGTAAGTGGGTGTTAATTACATGGATTTGTTAGGATTAGCGAGTTCTGTAGAGTACTATCATACCGAAGAGAGAAAAAGTAATTGGACAAGAATTCCATATCTTTGGGCTAAATAGGCAAGTATATATGCTTCGAACATATAGGCAGCTGGGCCTGAACTTAATTCTAACAGTGCGCGTCTCGGCGCTTCAATCGTATGAGCGTAAGTGTGCGGCGGGCGCAGGATTCCTTCGTTTACGGCCATGAGCCGGGCGTGCGCTTCTGGGCGCTTCAATCGTATGAGAGTAAATAACATCGCGGTGCGGCGGGCGCAGGATTCGTTCGTTTACGGCCTTGAGCCGGGCGTGCGCGTTTCGGGCGCTTCAATCGTATGAGCGTAAGTAATATCACGGTGCGGCTGGCGCAGGATTCTTTCGTTACGGCCATGAGCCGGGCTTAAAATTAACTTGCGGTGATAATAATAATGTAAGCCTATATGAAGTATGGTGTCCTGTAATGCATTATCATCGTTATGATCATTTGCAATAGACTACCTACCATCAGTCAGATACAAGTTACATATTCACCAATTCCTTAAACTAAGGAAGCATAAATTCTAGCATAGATGAGGATAAGATATCGAACTTCGAGAGGGCGTCATGAAAGCGATTTGGGTTCAGTTGAAAGTCTTAGGGATGGCACTTAGTAAAATTCATAATCCTAAAGTGAATTCCGTGTAGGGTGGGCAGGTAGGTGGGTTTGGACCTAAGGCAGGTAATCGACATGTATCTTAAACCTATGTGTGAAAAAGCGAACGATTAGCGTGGGGAGTATAAGTAAATACAGGTGTTGTGAAAGACAGAACGACATACGCACATTCATAGAGGAAGTAGTAACGAGTTACTTACTAATAGGGTACAGTATGCAGGTGAAAACAATGATATCACAGCGAAAATCGTAGCAGTAAATATGAATAACATAACGGGGAAAATCGAACATATCAATACATAGTTATTTGTCCTAAGAGAAAATAAAATATAATGAACTGCAATGTGAAGACAATAATAATAAACATTAGATAAAATACAATAAGAGAAAAATACCATAGCAATTAAAGTATGGTTAGGGAAGGGGAATGAGGTGGGAGGTGTGGGTGGGTGTCACTTAGGTTTGATCTCAGTGTGTGACTTCGCTTGTTGTGTTGAAAAAACAATGGTTGACAGCGAGAAGTTATGTATTATATAGTTAGTAGTTTGTGTTCGTTGAGTGGCATGTACTTGAACTTGTATGTAAGGTGTGGGTGGGTATAGGGAGGGCAATAGTTAATCTGGCACTAATAGGCACACTTACTTTTAATAGTAGCTAGGAAGTATTGGTGGTGCTGAGTAGAATGGCGGCTCCATGGTTGTGCTGACGAAGGTTCGTGAAGACGTGGCGAGGTAGATGAGCCGGATTTGTGGCGGCGTAGAGTGCGGGAACATATCGTCAGCGACTTCGTCAGGAGGGTAGCAAAGACGTGAGTAGTCAGCACGAAGTAGTAGGGTAGACATGGTGCGAAGAAGACTTGGTAGTGATGGCTGGGCGTTAAAGTAGGCGAGGAGGCACTTCGACAGTAGTACCTTGTAGGCAGATAGCATGGATCGGCGTCGGCGAGGAGGTAAGCGTAAGGCGTTGTGAGGTTCTTGATCACCGCTGCCATCAGATGTAAGCGTAACAGACCACGCAAGCCACTAGATGTAAGCGTAACAGAGATGGTCTTGGGGCGGTCAATGAAAGGGGTCTTAACTTGCTGGTTTATTTCTGAAGATAGATATGAGACCCCCAAGAGACCCCCGTGTCCCCGGGTGGAGGACGAGGTGGTGGAGCTGGACCCTGTGTCGCTTGGCCTGTCTGCCGTGTCTCCCTGTGTCTCTGTGTCTTAGGCACGTGCCCTTTTATGCGGCGGTTTCCTTGGAGGGATGTTTATTCCTGTGTGAAAAGAGAAAGGAAGGCAACACCTGCGTCCTGCCCAAGGAGAAAGGCATTTGTTTGGACCGAGGTGTGACTCTGCCATCCGGTCTTGCTACGTGTTGTTCACAATAACCCACGGCCGTCGTTCCTTCAGATATCCCCTTTTCCCTGCCATGCCCCTTTTATATTACCAGCTTGTGGACTTCCTTCATTTTTCGCTCTCTCCAAAGGTGCAAAAATTCTGATCCATTGTGATTATTCCCCCGCAGGCAGACGACGGACGTGGAAGTCATCAAAGAACTCCGAAGGAAGTTGAGTGAGATTAACCTCAACTTGAACTCAGTCGGAGATGAACAGATCGTTACCGAGAGCAATGACACACTCTTGCTGCAGGTGTTTGTTTTATTTATTTTGTTTATTGATTGGTTTTGGTGTTTTTTTATACTATGAAATGGAGGTGTAGCGTTAGAGATGAGTGTAGGTACGTATTGGTTATTAGTTGTGGGGATTGTCAATGTATTTTAAGTACAAGTACTACAAACATATATATACACACACACACACACACACCACACACACACACACACACACACACACCACACACACACACACACACACACACACACACACACACACACACACACGTATTTACCTATATATCCTGTACTTACGCAGAGTAAATACTCGCTGACATACCCCATGAAATGCTTGGATTATATATGGTACTGTATTTACAAGGATTTCTCGTTTTTGGATTTTGTTTAGAAAATATGCATTGACCTTGTTAACATTGCATTCCATTCATGTTTCAAATTCTGTGTTTATGTCGTTCAAGATAGATTTTGACTCACCTCAAGTCGTGCTGAAATATTAACTCACTGTCATTGGTCTGATGTCATGCGCATTTAGTATTTATTTTGTCAGGTATCGTACGTCTTTTTATGTTTTCATTTTTTTTACATATCGTACTTTTTCATGACGCATTAAGTTTTTCTTTTGTCTGGTATCGTACACATTATTTTTTTTCTTTTTCGCGTATCGTACTTTTTCATGGCGGATTAAGTTTTTTTCTTTTTCACGTATCGTACTTTTTCATTGCGCATTAAGTTTTTTTTCTTTTTCACGTATCGTACTTTTTTATGGCGCATTAAGTTTTTTCTTTTTCGCGTATCGTACTTTTTCATGGCGCATTAAGTTTTTTCTTTTTCGCGTATCGTACTTTTTCATGGCGGATTAAGTTTTTTCTTTTTCACGTATCGTACTTTTTCATGGCGCATTAAGTTTTTTCTTTTTCGCGTATCGTACTTTTTCATGGCGGATTAAGTTTTTTTCTTTTTCACGTATCGTACTTTTTCCATGACCCATATACATTAATCCATTGTGTGGTGATGTCTGTATGCACACATGACTAATACTGCCATAATTACAGGTGCTTTTGGGAGTAGTGTCATTAGTGCTGGGTTCGCTAGTGGTCCTCCTCCTCATTGCATACTGCATCAGGACGCGAAGGTAAAAAAAAAATACATACATGTCTTTGAATGTGTTTTGTGAAATTTAGGCAGAAACAGAGAGATAGATTTTTTTAAATGCAACCATTTGAGAATTGTTTGATGTTATTGTTGTAGTCTTATAATTATGATATTGGTGATAATAATGACAATAAAGATGACGGTAGTAATGATAATAATAACAATAATAATGATAATGATATTAATAATAATAATAATAGTGAAGATGATGATGATAATAATTATTATTATAATAATAGTGATGATCATAGTAGCAATGATTACTACCTTTACTTAACATCTCAGCCTCGAGCGCCAAGTTTAAGGTGCTG